GCAGTTGTTATGAATATATGCTAAGGATGAAAAAATGAACAAATTGTTTTTCGAAAACTCAAAATTTAAACTCGCCCGGCCATGGGCCGCCCCAATATTACCACAGTGTTTGTTAATGTTTTCTTATGTTCGTATTTCCTCTGAAGCTCTGTAAAATCCTCATAACAGACAACAATGTTCCACTCCTGCGTGGTGTCATCACAGTGTGATAGTGATTCATAATCACATGCTCATGATACGTATTCGAAATAGTAAAAGAGATTTCTTGTGGATGTGGAAACCATTTTGTCGCTTTTGTTGTGAGGGAAAAGGTAATGTGTTCATTTGCTGACTTTTTTCTATGTCCCACTCACACATGTAGTGGGAGGACAGGCAGACAGACAGACAGACAGACACACATGTAGTGGGAGGACAGGCAGACAGACAGACATGTAGTGGGAGGACAGGCAGACAGACAGACATGCAGACACACAGACAGTGGGAGGACATGTAGTGGGAGGACAGACAGACAGACAGACATGTAGTGGGAGGACAGGCAGACAGACAGACAGACAGACATGTAGTGGGAGGACAGGCAGACAGACAGACATGTAGTGGGAGGACAGGCAGACAGACAGACATGTAGTGGGAGGACAGGCAGACAGACAGACAGACACACATGTAGTGGGAGGACAGACAGACAGACAGACACACATGTAGTGGGAGGACAGGCAGACAAACAGACACACATGTAGTGGGTGGACAGGCAGACAGACAGACAGACACACATGTAGTGGGAGGACAGGCAGACAGACAGACACACATGTAGTGGAAGGACAGGCAGACAGACAGACAGACAGACACACATGTAGTGGGAGGACAGGCAGACAGACAGACACACATGCAGTGGGAGGACAGGCAGACAGACAGACACACATGTAGTGGGAGGACAGGCAGACAGACAGACAGACACACATGTAGTCGGACGACAGACAGACACACATGTAGAGGGAGGACAGGCAGACAGACAGACACACATGTAGTGGAGGACAGACAGACAGAGAGACACACATGTAGTGGGAGGACAGACAGACAGACAGACACACATGTAATGGGAGGACAGGCAGACAGACAGACACACATGTAGTGGGAGGACAGACAGACACACACACACATGTAGTGGGGGACAGACAGACAGACACACACGTAGTAGGAGGACAGGCAGACAGACAGACAGACAGACAGACACACATGTAGTAGGAGGACAGACAGACAGTCAGACACACATGTCCGTGAAGATCCGGGATAGAGCTGAAGTTCGGCAACTAACGGGATCGGATGATGAGGTTCGCTGACAGGGCAATGCTCATGATATCAGTCACTGGACTGAATATTTACTGGATACCGCCATTAGGCGCCAGTGGTTGTGAGGTGACTGGAAACAAGGCCCTGTGGAACTGCTTCTGAGTCTCTTTGATAAAATGTGTACATCTGTTTTGGTAGTTCTTCGGACTGATGCTTGATATTTACTTCTTTATATTTTACTTCTTTACATGGGTCTTCTTATAGAATATATCTTGTCGGGAGCCCACATCCCATATCAGGGAACGTTAAACCGATTAAATTGTTTTGGTGTAACCGGGAATTGTTTCACCTCTTGTTGACGTCAGAACAAGCATCCCTGGTTCCAGAGAGATAGAGAGAGTTTATTTCGCATAATGGCCTCATGGCCCAGAGTACAAAAAATACATGTGTTTGTTTGTTTGTGCGCATACAATACATATACATAAATACAATACATCAATATATAGCAGTCAAACAGGTAGGTTTTTCAATTATCATAAACAAACATGCAATATCATACCCACATTTCTTTTAAGTATTATACTTTTCGATAGAGTGTTGTATACATTATACTTCGCATTGCTTTTGTCACACTGATCTGGAACATTCTAACATTATACATATACCTGCATTAACACTGTACCTAAGGTGATGCTACCCGTGAAGGTCCGGGTTAGAATGAACCTCCAGGAACCTATGCTTGTCGTAAGAGGCGACTAACGGGATCGGGTGGTCAGGCTCGCTGGCGAGGTTGACACATGTCATCGGTTCCCAATTGCGCAGATCGATGCTCATGCTGTTGATCACTGGATTGTCTGGTCCAGACTCGATTATTTACCGACAGCCGCCATATGGCTGGAATATTGCTAAGTGCGGCGTAAAACTGAACTCACTCACTCACTCACTCACCTAAGGTGATGCTGGTACCAACATGGCGGTAGGTAAGATCGCTTGGTGATTATTCCTCTCGAATTAGAAGGCTTCCACGTGTATACAATCAACATTATTTAGCACACTGATAAACTTTGGTGGTGGAAATAAATTCAATGCACTGCTTATTAACGCCTATGTGTTGAAGAATAAGCATTTTGAAAATCGCGCGAGGATGTCGATAACTCAAAGTCTGGATGTGGTAACGTTCAATGAATGATGCTGGTAACGCATACTGTCTTGCTTTAGTCGGTAAACAGAAATTGTCGAGTTATGTTTAAACACAAAGAAGACACAAATATCAGTTCTTATGTTTTACACAGATGTGTACTGCTGCTACATTAACAGTATGAGCGACTTTTTCTGCTAATTCGAGGAGAGTAGTCGCCAGGCGATCTTACCTACCGCCATGTTGGGCGTTACCAGCATCACCTTAGGTACAGTGATATAGCCAATAACATAAACAAAGTTAAGTGTTTGTTATGATTCATTGACATTGACATTTATCTTACCTCAGTCATAAATGTCGCTTTCTGATTGGCTGATCGCTCTTCTATTATTTTCAATGTACCCTGCTTACAAGCGAGTAACATTTCAGTGTACCCCGCTGTCAATGGCAACTCATTCTGTACTTTGTAGTAGTAATTCTTTATCTCGAATAACGTTGAATCACGTATAATGTACGGAAATTACCGATGTTTTGCGAATGCAAATCGATGGAAGGGAGATAACTTTAAACTCTGTTTTTCTTGTCAGCAAAATCTGGCGATGGCTTCAAAAATATTTGTACCCGTGCTTCAAAATTAACATTAAGGTGTTCGGTATGATAAATACGTTGTTCACTGGTCCCTCGGGGCCCATGGGTTGATGTACCCTCGATGTTCAACCCATGCCCCCCTTGTGACCAGTGAACAACTTATATGAGATCATCTCAATTTAGCATGAGTATTGCCAGTCAGTGTCACCAACACATATTATAGTATAATAAGACGTCATGGTCAGTTACTTCGGTTCAAGTGCACTACAAGTCACAATAGGTACCCCGCCCTCTAAGAGAGCAAGGACTGAGTTAACTCTGGAGGTCAAGCAGAAACTGTTAAAGAGCTAAGTTTGGATTGAGTGTCTAAAAACTCCCTCTAAACCGACATCCCTCTAAACCGACACTTGTCACCGGTCCCGAGCGATGTTGGTTTAGAGGGAGTCTATTGTATATCATATGTGATCAGCACAATATGTAAATGGGCACAGATTGCTAGCAAGAAGAGTTATGCCACCATACAAGGAGAGACGACGTTCATCGTAACTATCAAAACAATCAATCTTCAAAGGCTAAACCGCCATGGATATTGAAACTAACAAAACAATAAATCATTTTAAAAGCTTATCCGCTTTCCATCCTCATGTTCTCGAAAACATTACTTGGATCCATTATATGTTTTCGCAGACGTATCTACTTCTCCCAAGGGATAAATATTTCAGTGTCAGAACAATTAAGGCTCTTTTTCATAATGTAATTTATCATTTAATAATTGGTTGTTGGCGACCTATAGCCTGTTATATTTTGTATTGTCTTCGTAAATAAAATACATTGTAGTTTTAGATTTACATGCTAGTTTTAGTTCTGTGATACTCTAGTTATTTTACAGTCCTTCGATGACTGGGATTTAATAGCTCGTATGTATTGTTTATTCACAACCTTTCTCGTCGCTATATAGCTGAAATATTGCCGATGGGAGCTTAAATTTTAACTCACTCACTCACTCCAATTCTCCTTAGTCATTTTCAATTTTCTTACAGGCGCGATGAAAACGTTTGAGTTGTATGGTTCAGTATTATTTTATACTTGATCTGTTCGTTGTAACATCAACAATGATCGAGAGTGTTATCTCGTGTAGAGACAAGTTCACATCTGTCGATGATATTTTATGAAAAGGAGATATTCGGAACAAATATGACAAGAAGGTTTATGGATTTGTGTCTGCCTGACAATAGAATAGCCAGTTCCTTGAATTACGAGTGTCTCTTGGGAATACAGTAAATTGTTTTTATTTAACCTTTCCCTTTGCTGTTCCGCTTGAAACTCTACATGACCCCACAGTATCAATCTGTTTATGGCATTGCAAATGCAAAGGATCTACGGTGGATTTTCACGACAAAGCTCGGAGATGAATGACTATGTTGACGTCACCTTTGTTTGTGTACTCAATCATGCATATCAGATCCAATAAATCTCCGCAGGTCACCAACTCCTTTTCCTATATAAACCAGGTTTATCGCTATCAGTTACATTTGTATTTCGTCTACAGTTGATACAGTCTGTCACTGTGTTATTGTTGACTGAAAAGTTAGACATGAGGATTACGCTTGTTTTGCTAGCTGCCTTGAGTTGTCTTGCATGTGCGAATAGAGATGGGAGGCGAACAAGTACAAATGGCCTTACACGACCAGATTGGGCAGGGCGTGGTAGGCTGGCCATACGCGGACCGATAAGAGAACCTCTTGGAAGTGGGGGCCGATTGAGCGGGTCAGGGCCTACAGCAAGAGGACAACGACAGGGTCTACGAGGACCTAGAAGAGGACAAAGACAGGGCGGGCGAGGATCTACAAGAGGACAAAGACCGGGTGGTCGAGGACCTACAGCAAGAGGACAAAGACCCGGTAGACGAGGACCTCCATCATGGGTACGGCGAAGACCAGGAGCGAGTGGAGGCCGTCCACTTGGACGAGGGGGGCTAATGAGAAATCCAATGATTGCCGCGGTGAGATCTTTCGATAAATACATCTTTGTACGCCTCTATAATTAATTTTATGCTTAATATGTAAAAACTACCAGTCTTTTGTGATCTGTGATCGCCCGCCAAGCGTTTTGTTTGTACATCAGATCTAACATGTATTGTTGTAACTGAAATAGTGTCCGATGTATCATTCAGAAATTAGATCAATCATTAACGGATTGTATGCGTGTTATGCCTATAGTATATCTAGTTCCGTATAAGATTGATTTCATACAAGAAGATGTTAAGGTAAAAATATTATATTCACTACACAGAAAAAACAAAAACATACTATTAGTAGGGTTATCATGATGATGCTTGTGTTAAGATGAATTTACTGACAACGAGCATTCTGGAGGCATAATATTTATACATGTATAATGTTATAACCATTTAGAAATTCTTATTTGCTATCTTTTTTGTTATTTAATTCTCACCTGTTATCGATTTTTACTTACTTTACTTTATATTCGCTTATGAGTTTTCTTGCACTGTTTTCCAGCTTGGAGGTGACGTCGAACGACGACAGTGGTTTCGCATGGTGGACGGCAACATCACCGTGAGAGAGTTAGCTCAGTTCAACAGTACAGAGGAATTCATTACCTTAGCTTCATTCGGCAGAGCTCTCAGGAATTCTAACATCTCATCCGCCTTTTCAGCTTATGATTTTCCAAACGTAATTGTTTTCACTTTTATAATGTAATGAAATTACTATCACACAGCGTTAGAGATAAATATAAATGCATCCATTATGTATTTAGACCTTGTTTTAGTCACGATATGGCTGAAATGCTGTTAATGTGACTTAAAAATTAATTAATTAAACTCACTCACTCAGTTTGAGGTAAGACACTTCTCTGAGAGGTAATTTAGAAGTTGGATCAGAGAATATTCAAGCTTGACCTCAGTTGTAAAATGGGAGTAGTTAATACATTAGAACTTGAATTTGTATAAAACTGAGTAGTATAATATTATACAGTTAACTGCAAATTAACTGTTTATTGAGAGTATTCAATATATTCACTCAGAATCTTCATTCTCTACAGAACCAATTCTGTTCATTTTTTATATCATTGTTTTCGCAGTTTTACTGAATACAAATATTGTTGTGTGTAACCATGTGGATATAAAATGATGAAACCACTTGAGGCAAGATCATTACAAGTGTGTTTTACCTTCCAGGGTGTGGCTGCAGCTCGTGTGAGGATTAACGACACCAAAGTCTGTCTGGTGTTCCCCATCTCAGACTTCAGTGCAGCCATCAACTCTATCTCAGCCAGAAATGTAAGTAGATCTTCGAAAAAACTTCAATATATTCAGCTTATAATGGAACTACTCCTAGATCAGGAAGCTAAGGTTTAGATAGTTAATCGGGCAGGGTACACATTTTAACCATTCAGTACATACAACATCTACTACCTAGATGTACCAGTATGTTTTAGGCATTTGGATTTTTTGATTGAGCCAAAACCGAATGCATGATAAATTACATGGTGGCAGAAATATATCTACCGATGCCAATAACATATGTTTAACTTCCGCTTTTTCGTTAAACAGACGCTTCGTTGAAATAAACTGGATAAAAAACAAAAGTACTTTAAGATCATTAACGCACCCGCCATATGGCCGGAATATTGCTGAGTACGGCGTTAAACAATATCCAAACCATTAACACCTTACCACTAGAGACAATGTTACACATATCTGTAAGGCTTGACTGATGACGGTGTTGTTGAAGTAGTGTATATGTTACAGGGAATGTGTGAAACCAGGGATTTCACATAATCCCTTAAAGAGTCAGTGATTTCGTGCAATCACTGTGACCCACAGGGATTTCATGTATTCCCTAAAACTTCAAGGGATTTCATGAAATTACCGATTTTCATGGTGTTCCATTACACACGTGCATGTGTACTCGTTCATGCAATTCTGTTATGAATGAATTTAAATAACCAGATAATAACCAATCTCGATTATTCCGGCGGGCGTAAAGACAAAATAGCTTTGGAAATTATACACATGACATGGTTCACTGAAAATCAGAGATGACACCAGGTGTTCACCCGAGCAGGTGTTCGCCCGACACCCACTCAGTTTGCATCTAAAGGTGTTTGGTGTCTGACAAAGCAAACACCTGCCATGCGATTTTTTTAGTAGCAAAGGTGAATTATAATGGACGTTACCAGTAAATCTAACATTGTGGTATCAAAATATGTCTCACGTGTTCTCAAGCGACACAATATGTTATAATAAAGTTATCTTATCTCATCTTTCGTCGATGACCAGTGAGGGACGGTGCGATAGCCTAATGGTCAAAGCGTTCGCTCGTTTCCAGCATGATACACTGTGTGAAGTCCATTCCTAGTGTCCCCGTGATATTGCTGAGATATTGGTAAAAGCGGCGTAAAACCATTCTCACTCACTCACTCACTCACTCAGTGTCCACTGACAGGATCTTTTTATCGTTATAGACATCGGAGCTAGTATCAACCCCAGATAACGATGACGAATACACGATGAAAACGGATGACAAGATGACAGATGCGGAGTTGGCAGCTTTCAACACAACTTCACCAAACCTGTACCAGATCTGCCAGGGACGACGAACTGCACCACCCATCATCATCGACACCACGACTGCAGTTCAAACTGGTGAGATATTAAACATATTTTATCTATAGTTTTTAATCAATCTTTGCTGTTTTCATTCTTACATCATCGTGTGTTCTCATAGAGCACAGTAGGTATCGAGTTGCCTTTCGCGTGAGGTTCACGTTCCAGGTATTCTTAACTGACATGGTTTTTTTTGGTTCATGTATATTTATTGCAACGGAAATAATATTCTTTTAGGGCGAAATCGTAGTGAGTTGAATTGAACGACGTTTTGGACAGTAATCTAGTTATATGAAGTGAGTGAGTGAGTGAGTGGGATTTTACGCCGCACTCAGCAATAGTCCAGCTATATGGCGGCGGTCTGTAAATAATCGAGTCTGGACCAGACAATCCAGTGATCAACAGCATGAGCATCAATCTGCGCAATTGGGAACCTATGACATGTGTCAACCAAGTCAGCCAGCCTGACCACCCGATCCCGTTAGTCGCCTCTTTCGACAAACATGGGTTACTGAAGATCAATTCTAACTCGGATCTTCACAGGTAGTTATATGGAGCATGACAGCTACATGTGGGATTAAAGCTTGCAGTGGTACAGGCTCTAGACATTTACCATTTCGGTAAACCACTGGCACCAATAAGGTGGCGACAAATGTAGAAACCATAAAGGGTGGAACCGGAACCCACAAGCATTTGGTCTGGTGTGTATGTGTCTATCGATTAACAGTGTGTAATGCCGCCCTTTTCCTTCATCTGTAGAAAAATGTGTCAGTCTATTGACAAAGAATAACGCTGCGCTTTTCCTTCATTAGCATAGAAATGTGTCAATCTATTAACAATGAACAATGTTGCTCTTTTCCTTCATCAGTAGAGAAATGTGTTAATCTATTAACGATGAACAATGCTGCTGTTTTCTTTCATCAGTAGAGAAATGTGTCAATCTATTAACAATGAACAATGTTGCTCTTTTCCTTCATCAGTAGAGAAATGTGTTAATCTATTAACGATGAACAATGCTGCTGTTTTCTTTCATCAGTAGAGAAATGTGTTAATCTATTAACAATGAACAATGCTGCTGTTTTCCTGCATCAGTAGAAAAATGTGTCAGTCTGTTAACAATGAATAACGCTGCGCTTTTCCTTTATCAGCATAGAAATGTGTCAATCTATTAACAATGAACAATGTTGCTCTTTTCCTTCATCAGTAGAGAAATGTGTCAATCTATTAACAATGAACAATGTTGCTCTTTTCCTTCATCAGTAGAGAAATGTGTTAATCTATTAACGATGAACAATGCTGCTGTTTTCTTTCATCAGTAGAGAAATGTGTTAATCTATTAACAATGAACAATGCTGCTGTTTTCCTGCATCAGTAGAAAAATGTGTCAGTCTGTTAACAATGAATAACGCTGCGCTTTTCCTTTATCAGCATAGAAATGTGTCAATCTATTAACAATTAACAATGTTGCGCGTTTCCTTCATCAGTAGAGAAATGTGTTAATCTATTAACAATTGTGCTCTGGAGAAATATGTGTTTATCTATTAATCTCTCTCTCTCTCTCTCTCTCTCTCTCTCTCTCTCTCTCTCTCTCTCTCTCTCTCTCTCTCTCTCCCTCTCTCCCACTGTGTCTGTATTCATTTCCCGCTGTCCACCACCTCACCCACGACTGTATATGTATAGACGTACCTTGCTACGAATGTGGTGTTGAATGTTTTATAGGTGATGGCGTAACAGATCTGGACCCCGTGACGTTCTTGTCTGTCAGCGGCAAAGTGACAGTCTACCTGAAGTCTACCTTATCTCTGTAATCAAGACACAGCTCTTCTACATTCAAAGTATTCTAGAAATCCGCGCTGTTTCTAAACCAGAAGCAAAAAACTACTCATCATAGTATCTTAGAAGATATCAGTTTAGTTATCGCACATGTCTGTAGAAGCTAATAGTTATAATGCATTGAGGTATCTAATTATTTTGAAAATGAATAAATACTTTTTTACTGACTACAAGGCTATCTGTTCACTCTTTTTTCATTGCAGAACGTTGGCGTTGTCAAGAATGTGCGATTGAATTTGCATATTCCTATAGTTAGTGAGTTTAGCTTTACGCCGTTTTTAGCAATATTCCATCAATATCACGGCGGGGGACACCAGAAATGGGCTTCACACATTGTAACCATGTGGGGAATCGAACCCGGGTTTTAGATTGACAAGCAAACGTTTCAGCCACTAGGATGCTAATTGGGTTCCCGTAACAACTATTCACAATCCTATTTGGCCCTTTTGCAGTTGACAAGGATGCTAAATATGCCGTTAATAGGAAGTCTGTTTTGTTTCAAAACGCCTGAAAGCCATTTTATAAGTGATGCGGAAAACTGAAACATCCAATATGTTGGGTAATCTAACTTCCTTAGACCATAGTTTACCTTTGTTTGCCATGCAATACTCTTGAGATAAATGAATGATGGTTATCGTACCTGGAGGCACAAATAACCGAGCTGCCATAAACCACAATGCAGCCATATTATTTTATATGCCTTACTCAAGTCACAGGGTGTGGTGGGGTGTCAGTGTCACATACCTAGAAAATACCGCCAACAGTGATATGCTATGAAATAACTATAACCTTTCAATGGTCAAAGCTGTTTAATACTTAACGCACGTAGAAAGGAGCTCAAACAGCAAGTTTTGTGTCAATGACCCGCACAGAGTATCCAGAACAGAACGTGTCCCCATACTTGTCATTAGTTTGATCCATTAGAGTGTACTGGGGCGTTTTGGGGACTGTTTTCTGTTCAGAGAATGTTGCTTTATAAATGGAGGCCTTTGTTCCATGTATGGTGAGTGTGGTTACGTAAGAAAAGAATGTGTCAAAAGACTGTGGCCACGTATATAGAGACTCGGGTTACGTGTATAGAGATTGTGGCTACGTGTATATAGATTGTGGTTGCGTGTATAGAACCTGTGGCGACGTGTATAGAGACTGTGGGTACGTGTATAGATACTGTGGGTAAGTGTATAGAGACTGTGGCGACGTGTGTAGAGATTGTGGTTGCGTGTATAAAGACTGTGGCTACGTGTATAGAGACTGTTGTTACGTGTATAGAGATTGTGGCTACGTGTATAGAGACTGTGGTTACGTGTATAGAGACTGTGGCTACGTGTATAGAGACTGTGGTTACGTGTATAGAGACTGTGGCGACGTGTATAGAGGTTGTGGCTACGTGTATAGAGATTGTGGCTACGTGTATAGAGACTGTGGTTGCGTGTATGGAGATTGCGGTTACGTGTATGGAGATTGCGGTTACGTGTATAGAGACTGTGGCTACGTGTATAGAGACTGTGGTTATGTGTATAGAGACTGTGGCTACGTGTATAGAGATCGTTGCTACGTGTATAGAGATTGTGGCTACGTGTATAGAGACTGTGGCTGCGTGTATGGAGATTGTGGTTACGTGTATGGAGAGTGTGGTTACGTGTATTGAGATTGCGGTTACGTGTATGGAGACCGTTGTTAGATGTGTAGAGACTGTGGTTGCGTGTATGGAGATTGTTGTTTAATGAGTGAGTGAGTGAGTGAGTTAGGTTTAACGCCGCTTTTAGCAATATTTCAGCAATATCACGGCGGGGGACACCAGAAATGGGCTTCACACATTGGACCCATGTGGGGAATCGAACCCGGTCCTTCGGCGTGACGAGCGAACGCTTTAACCACTAGAGCTACCCCACCGCCCCTGTTGTTTTATGTGATTACGTTTATGCAGATTGTGGCTACGTGTATGGAGATCGTTGTTAGGTGTGTAGATATTGTGGTTACGTGTATGGAATTGTGGATACGTGTATGGAGATTGTGGGTACGTGTATGGAGATTGTTGTTTTATGAAGGAAGACTGTGAAAACGTGTATGCAGATTGTGGCTACGTGTATGGAGACCGTTGTTACGTATATTGAGACCTTTGCTACGTATATTGAGACCGTTATTACGTGTTTAGAGATCGTTGTTTTGTATATGGAGATCGTTGCTACGTGTATAGAGACTATTGTTACGTATATGGAGACCATTGTCTCGTGTAAAGACTGTCGTTACGTATATGGAGATTGTGGTTACGTGTATAGAGACTGTTATTCCGTACATGGAGATCGTTGCCACGTGTATAGACTGTTGTTACGTATATGGAGACCGTTATTCCGTGTGTAGAGACCGTTGTTACGTATATGGAGATCGTTTTTACGTGTATAGAGATCGTTGTTACGTATATGGATGCTGTTGTTAGTGTATAGAGACTGGTGTTACGTATATGGAGATTGTGGTTACGTGTGTTGAGACTGTTGTTACGTATATGGAGATCGTTTTTACGTGTATAGAGACTGTTGTTACGTATATGGAGATTGTGGTTACGTGTGTGGAGACTGTTGTTACGTATATTAAAACTGTGGTTACGTGTGTTACTGTTATTGTATGTTTTAGAGACTGAAGTTACCGTGGGGTGAAATCAAACCCGGGGTTGCAGCGTGACAGGCGAACGCTTTTATCACTAGTTGACCTCGAGATATGGAGGACACATTGGTCCGTAACTAAAGAGTGGTCAAAGGTCAAAATATAACCCAAATTTGATACTTTACCTTGTTAAAGAAACCAGGTGTATTAAGTGAAATTCATTCAACGTGTGTTGCTATAGTGTTCATGGAACATTTTTTTAAATAAAACAGTAAGAATTGAAAAGATCACTCAGTTGAAATGGACATTTCTAATCATCATGCATGAAAATACATGTACACTTTTATGACACTGTTTATGTGACAAGCGAGCTGCATTCATAAACTCATAGTACAAGCTTGGTCGTAATTCTCTGAACGGATTGCCGTCATTTTATGCTTCTGTCTAAATTAGATTCCTATGAATAACAGATGAGGCATAATAAAGGGGCCAGGTCGTCGAAGGTGCAACGGAGGCCAACAGGAAACTGTTTACTGTGTTTGCACATGAAGCAGCAACTGTGAAATTCTCTTTGATGGACACTTTGATGTCATTTTGACTGACTT